GCGGGCCTCTCACTGTTGTGGCCTCTCCCGTTGCAGAGCACAGGCTCCGGACGCGCAGGCTCAGCAGCCATGGCTCACGGGCCCAGCCGCTCCGCGGCATGTGGGATCTTCCTGGACCGGGGCACGAACTCGTGTCCCCTGCATCAGCAGGCGGACTCTCAACCACTGCGCCACCAGGGAAGCCCAAAAGATACTTTTAAAAGGACTTAGGAAATCTGAGTTTGAGTCCCACTTCTGCCTTTTCTTGACTGTGACCTTGGGCTCTTTGGCACTTAAGTTTCTTTTTCTTTAATTCTTTTTTCTTTTTGCGGTATGCGGGCCTCTCACTGTTGTGGTCTCTCCCGTTGCGGAGCACAGGCTCCAGACGTGCAGGCTTAGCGGCCATGGCTCACGGGTCCAGCCGCTCCGCGGCATGTGGGATCTTCCCAGACCGGGGCACGAACCCGTGTCCCCTGAATCGGCAGGCGGACTCTCAACCACTGCGCCACCAGGGAAGCCCTCTTTCATTCTTTTTTTTTTAAAAAATATTTATTTGGCTGTGCCAGGTCTTAGTTGTGGCATGCGGGATCTTTTTTTTTTTTAGTTGTGGCTTGTGGGATCTTTAGTTGCGGCATGCAAACTCTTAGTTGCGGCATGTGGGATCTAATTCCCTGACCAGGGATCGAACCTGGGCCCCCGGCATTGGGAATGCGGAGCCTTAGTCCCTGGACCACCAGGGAAGTCCCTGCACTTCAGTTTCTTAATCTGTAAAGTGGGGTGATTACCGTGCATGGTTATTGTAAACATTAAATCAACTCATGCAGTAAAGTGCTTGGCTGTTAATAGATGCATATTTAAAACATAATAGCCGTAAACTAATGTTTCAACTTTTTAATCTATGGAAAGGGGAGTAAGGCTTAATTTGTTTTAAGCATTACAGTCTTCCATTGGTCTTAGATATGTCCAAAACTTCAGATTCCAATCCTGTTGATTAGATATATTTGTTGGTAGAGTGCTGTGTCTCTTCTTTGCTCTCCACAAGGTTGGCATCATCTTAAAGTTGATGGTTAAAAGAATGGCGCTGTTAGTAGGAAAATAGGAATTGAATCTCCTTACTTCAGTTATATCCAGCACTGTTGATTTCATTAGTGAAGAAACTTTTTATTCTTCCAGTCGGGGCCAGACTTCATGACTCACGCCAGGTTGAGTTAGTCCCTCATCACTGGAAATGGAGTTTCTGTTGGTGTTTTAAAAAAAAAAAAATCAGGGCTCTCTTTCTGACTGAGGTGGAATAGCTGTTGGGGAGTCAGCCACAGTGTTCTTTTTAGAATTGCATTGACATTGTTAGATTAATTTGGGGGAGAATTGACACTTTAATAGTATTTAGTTTTCCTTCCTGGAACATGATATATCTTCCCACTATTATGTCTTTCAGTACACCATTTTAATAGCAATCATGGATATTTAGTATTAGATTTATTTATAAATATTTTATGGTTTTTGTTATGCATGACATTTTTTTCACGTCATTTTCTTGCTGGATTTTGCTTATAACATAGGAAAAGCTATTGGTATTTGTATTCTTTTTTGGTGTGTCCAGTTATTAAAAAAGATTTTTTAATTTTGTTGGCTTAATTCTCTTAATTTTTATTTTTTGGAGTGTATTGAGATAATCATGGTTTTTCTCCTTCAGTGAACTAATGTAAGCAAACCTCCTTAATTGGAATTTTAATGTGAAAACCATCCTTGCATTCCAAAGAATCCCTGTTGGCCATGGTGTATTATTTTTATTGCACAGTTGGATTCTGTTGTTTAATAATTTAATATTTTTGCATTTGTTTTGTGAGACACTTCTTTTCTACTTTTGATATGAAATTAGCATGACTTGGGAATCTTTCTAGATTTTTTTGTGCCCTAGAAGCTCTTAATGGTTTGCCTGGAAACCATTAGGGCCTGGTGCTTTTTTGTTGTTGTTTGGGTTGTAGGTCTTTGACCTCTTTTTAAAAATTTTCAGTGCTTTTGATTTGTGTTTTTTACCTCATTTTGAGCCACTTTTTTATTTTCTAGCTAATCCTCTGTTTAGTGTACATTTTAAATTCACTGTTACAAAGTTGTAATTTGGCTTATTTGTAGTTTCTGGTCGTGTACGTTCATCTTCTTTGATCTTTTTTTTTTGAGAAAAGTTACATCTTTCTTTTTCTTAGATACACTTACCAGAAATTTGTCTGTTTTAATGGCTTTTTCAAAGCTTGATTTTACTGATCAGCTTTTGGCTTTGTTCATGATGATGTTTTTCTAATTTCATTTACATCTTGCTTTCATCTTTAATAACTTCCTTCTGCTTATTTTGGGTCTGCTTTATTTTTCTAGCATTTCAAATTGTATGTGACGTTCCCTTTTATTCAGGCTTCCTTCTTTTTGAATACATTTGATAAACATTTAAGGCTAGAAGTTTCCCTTTGAGTCCCACCTTGGGTAGACATCCTATTCCTTTTGCTATATAGTGTTCTCATTGTCATTCATTAAAAAATAAATTGTTTTGATCTCATCTTCAGTTTCGGAGTTAATAGAAATGAGTTTGAAGATTTCCAGGTGGATAGACTTATTTCCTTGTGTCTGTTGGATTAATTTCTTATTTTGAGGTATTGTGGAAAGTGAATGTGGTTTGGTTTTGTTCTTTGGAATTTGAGGTTCTGCTGATTTGTAGATTTGTCAGTTTCTCCTTGTTTTTAATATTTTTTGAAGCATATATCAGGATCATATCAATTATAGTTTTATATGCACATGACATAATTTTTTTGTCCTCTTATAATGCTTTTTGTTTGTTTGAATTCTTTTCAGTCTGCTAGTATTGTATTTGCTTTCTGTTAACATTTGCTTAATAAAGTGGAGTAACATTGTCCAGGCATTTGTTTTGCTTACCCAAATTCAACTATATAAATGTGGCAAAGCATGGTGACAGTGACTACTCACCGATTTAGTCAGTGAATATATATTGGTTTGGCCAAAAAGTTTGTTCGGGTTTTTGTAAGATGTTACAGAAACCTGAATGAACTTTTTGGCCAACCCAGTAATTGTGATCGAGCTTAGGGATGGTAGATCACTGTTTGGAGGGGCACCTCTTATAATGTGAGCCCTTGATAAATGCAGTATTGGTCTTGAAACATAAGGCTTGACTTTTACTATATCATGTTTCCTAAATGTAAGTCAACCGTTTTGTCAGTCTCCAGTGAGGTGCTTAAGATTTTGATTTATTCATTTTTGACTGAATGCCGTTTTCATCTTAAAGAATCCAACTCCTCTTTATGATGGGACTCTATTGTGGGTGTTTTACCGTTTATTTACCTTCAGTCTACTTGTATTATCTTGTTTTAGATGTATCTTTTTATATAAGCATATAGCTGAATTTTCTCTTCAGTCTGGAAGAAAAATTTGACGTGTCTGTGATTACTGATATGTTTGCATTCATTCCTGTCATTTTTTGTTTTGTATTTACTATACTTTTTTTCCTCTTTTTGTTTTTCTGTTTTCCAGTATGCGGGCCTGTCACTCCTGTGGCCTCTCCCGTTGCGGAGCACAGGCTCCGGACGCGCAGGCTTAGCAGCCATGGCTCACTGGCCCAGCCGCTCCGCGGCATGTGGGATCTTCCCAGACCGGGGCACGAGCCCGTGTCCCCTGCATCGGCAGGCGGACTCTCAACCACTGTGCCACCAGGGAAGCCCTCCTCTTTGTTTTTGAACTGATTTTTTTCCCCCTAGTTGTTTGAAGGTCATATGTTCATTTTCTCTTTTTTTGGAGTTGCCTGTAAATTTTTTTTTTTTAATTTATTTATTTAAATTTATTTTTGGCTGTGCTGGGTCTTTGTAGCTGCACGGGCTTTCTCTAGTGGCAGCGAGCGGGGGCTACTCTTCATTGTGGTGTGCGGCCTTCTCATTGTGGTGACTTCTTTTGTTGCACAGCATGTGCTCTAGGCACGTGGGCTTCAGTAGTTGTGGCACACGGGCTCAGTAGTTGTGGCTCGCGGGCTCTAGACCACAGGCTCAGTAGTTGTGGCAAACGGGCTTAGTTGCTCCGCAGCATGTGGGATCTTCCTGGACCAGGGCTCGAACCCGTGTCCCCTGCATTGGCAGGTGGATTCTTAACTACTGCGCCACCAGGGAACCCCAACCAGTAAATTTTTAACGCATTTAAACCATCACTTCTTTATTCTTGTTTAGAAATAATCAGAATCTTTATCTTCCGTTCCCCAACGAGACAGAGCTGCTGCTTGCTTTGACTTCCCTCTCCTTTCTCTTCCCTCTTCGACTTCCTATGTTGAAATCATGTAAGTATTTTAGTTGCAGATTGCTTATTTTCCTAAAAGTCAGCGTGTATTGCTTCCTGTGCTTATCATTGTTTATATAGCTCGTATCTTCTTGGGTGCTTTAAAAAATTATATTGGAGTGCATCTACTAATTATTTCAGAGAAGGTCTTTGAATAGTAAATGTTGAGCTCTTTCATGTGTAGAAATGTCTTTCTCTTGCACTCCCATTTGAAAGCTGATTTGGCTGGATACGAGTTTCAAATTGTTTTCCTCATAACTTTGCCAGTGCGCTGTTGTCTTCTAGCATCTGTGTTACTGATGAAAAGTCTAATTTTACCTTTATGTGATTTATGTATCTTTGTAGGAATTCACTTTTTTCCTTTGGGAGTTTTCAGGGATTTCCTGAAATTTCAATAGGATGTGACTATACATCTCCCCTTTCTACACTTATTAATTTTATTTCAAGCAGCCAATTATTCCTGTCTTCCCCTATCTCCCCCAGAAAATTTCTAGAACTCATATAACACAGATGTTGGACTTTCTGGTTCTGTGTTCTATATATCTACCTTTCTTTCATACTCAAGAGGCATTTTGGGAGAGTTTCTTAGTTTTGTTTTCCATTTGTTTTTTCTGTGCCCATTTTGTTATTAAATGTATCTGTGGAGCTTTATTTTGGAAATAAATATTTCTCCTTTTTTTCTATTGTAAAAGTGTCTTTATTGGATACAATTTACATACAATAAAATATATCCATTTAAAGTGTATAGTTCCATACATTTTGACAGATATATACACCCATGAAGCTCCCCTCTTGCCCCCAACAATTAAGATTTGGGTTATTACAGAAAGTTTTCTCCTGCCCCTGTATAGTCCTTCCCTCTCTCACTCCCCCAGCCAGTGATCTGCTATCAGATACAGAAATGATTAGCTTGCATTTTCTAGAGTTTCATATAATGGACTCATATAGTATGTAGCCTTTTGTGCCAAGCTTTTTTCACTCAGCCTGTTTTTGAGAGTCACCTATGTTAAGTATATTGGTGTGTTCCCCCCCCCTGCGCCCCACCCCCTGCCCCGCTCTTTTTGGTTTTGAAAGCTTGTCCCACAACCCCCAACTAGGAAATTAACATTGATACAGTTCACAGACCTTGTTTAGATTTAACCAGTTTTACATAAACTCTTGTATGTGTGTATTTAGTTCTATATAATTTTGTCACATGTGTAGATTCTTAACAGCCACAACCACAGCTGGCAATCATTTCTTAATTTCTAATTTTTCTTTATGGTAACTTATTCATTTTTAAAATTAATTTTTTTATTGAAGTATAGTTGATTTACAATAGCTTATTCATTTTACATGGATGAAATCTCATTTTACCTTGGAGGATATTTATGATTCTTTTAAAGCCTCCTCTTTGTTCCTGCAACTCTTTCCTTAGATGTTAACTTCTTGGTTTTGTGGTGTTGATTTTTCCCTTTTGGTGATTCTGGTTTATAAAGTGATCATCTCTGGTTTAAGGATTGCTATTCTCCTGTCAGTGGGTGCAGTGTCTGTTTACCAGTCTGTCAGGATGGATTGTAGGGGAGAGATGGGAAATACGGCCAGATGTGGGGGCTCCCCACTTCTGGGTAACAGCAGCTACGTGGATGTGTACTGATGCTTGGGCTCAAGTGCCTGTGCCCAGTGAAGACTTTGCCTCTTTGGAGGAGGGGGAGGGGAGTGTCTGGCCTGTCCAGTTGTGCCAAGTGTATTTCCCCACCATATCACTATGACTGCACCAGAGCCTGCTTCTGTTTCCCCATGGCAGCTACCCCATCGACAGCTTGGATGGAGCACCCATCTGCTCCCCGCACCTTCATAGCTGCTCCCAATTTTTATAGCATTTCTCTTTTCAGGGTTCTGGACAGTTATTGCCTCTATCAACTTCATTCTGCTGATGGTATCACTTCTTGTTTCTCAGAATTATTTTAGAAAATCAGTAAGTTTATATCTTTAGTCATTTCTAGGATTTAAGGTGGGAGGAGAAGGCATGTATGGCTAATGCAGTTTATCTTGTTGATCCAGTCTCCTTAAGCCATTTTTTGGGATGGATTTTTTTTTTTTTTTTTAGCTCCTCCGCATAGTATGCGGGATCCTAGTTCCCCTACCAGGAATCAAATCTGCGTCCCCTGCATTGGAAGCGCAGGAGTCTTAACCACTGGACTGCCAGGGAAGTCCTGGGATGGATTTTTTGGGATGGATTTTTGGGGAATGGGTATTAACTTTGAAACACCTGTTCCACTGATGGCCATTGAAACCTGATGGATTGGTTGATACCAGGGTTTGAGAGAAATTGACCACTGGAGCTTATATGTTACATAGGGTTGGGAATTTCCTCTAGCCCTAGTTTGGGTACTAAACCAAAGCTCTGAAAAGTCTCAACATTTCTGTAAGGCAAGGGCAAGGATGAAGATTTTCATTCTCAATCTTTTTTTTCAGAGTTGAGGTTAATGAGTAGTCATTTTGCTGTTTTTTAATATTTCTCAGTGCAGTTTGGGCTTGTCTAAGAGGATTGTGTTGGCTTAATGTTGTAATATTTTTCTTCTTGATCTTTGTAATTCTTTTTTTAAGATTTGTTTCCAGATTAGACAGAATCATATTTCTTCTCCCAAAACCCTTTTTGTGTATATAGTTCTTGGAAACCTCAAGGTATGAAATAAATTGTTAATCTAATGAGTGTAAATTTAGTTTTCAGAAAAAAAGCTGTTCTGACTTTTTTTTCCTTCCCCATTTAGTTTTTCCTTGGTTTGGCTTGGATATTGGTGGGACCCTGGTCAAGCTGGTTTATTTTGAACCCAAAGACATCACTGCTGAAGAAGAAGAGGAAGAAGTGGAAAGTCTTAAAAGCATTCGAAAGTACCTGACCTCCAATGTGGCTTATGGGTCCACGGGTATTCGGGACGTGCACCTGGAGCTGAAGGATCTGACTCTGTGTGGACGCAAAGGCAATCTGCACTTTATACGCTTTCCCACTCATGACATGCCTGCTTTTATTCAAATGGGCAGAGATAAAAACTTCTCGAGTCTCCACACTGTCTTTTGTGCCACTGGAGGTGGAGCGTACAAATTTGAGCAGGATTTTCTCACAGTATGCATTTTTTAGCTTATATACAATTTATGGTAATCTGATTGTTAAAAATAATACCAATAGCAAGTGGTGGAATCATTTCCATCTCTAATGGAACTTGAATTTTCTTGAGTCAAGTTAAGATTAAATATCAATTAGTGATAGGAGTTGCCATCTAGAGATTGTTGTATAGTTTACTTTTTGCCCAATTCAGATGAGTTGATGAGAATCAGAAGCACTAACAGCATAGCATTTTGTTGTTCTTTTAGTATGAAAAAATAGTAAAGCTGTAATAAGCACAGGAAGGAACTACCAGTGAGGAACAATATCATTGTCTTGAACAATGTGATTGAAAAATAATTTAAAAAATTAATGTCATTTCATGTTATAAAATTGTTTCCAACGTTATCTACCACATAATTTTTCTTATCCCCCTCATTTGTTTCTTGGCAATTTTACTATTTAGAAATATGAGGAACTCTGGTCCAAAGCAGTGTTTTTCAGGCCTCAGGGTTAGTCAGAGATGGTTGACAGCAGAGTCTGCTCTCCCCAAATGCCTTTTGATGTGTCCTGAGCTGCACACTTGTTAACAGGAGTCTGGATAGTAGGTGGAGTGCCAGTGGGCCCTTGATTTTGTTTTCATTCAGTGAACACTGTGTGTAAGGCCTTGAGGCTAGGTCATTTGAGGGTGGATGTGGGGGTAGATGGGAGAATTGATAGGCGAATTGGTCAAGGCTCTGACCTTCAGAGTGCAGTGTAGATTTACTACACTGGTAGTAGTCATCTAGTAGTGATGATGTAGTCATCTTCAGTGACCATGTTTTTAATGCCACCAATGAGAATGTTATTACAGAGATTCTGCCTTTGCCTATGTTGTTTTTCATTTTCTCCCTGCCCCCAGCCTTGCGTGTCATTGTATGATTTGTGACTTTGTCTTTCTTTGTCCTCTATCTTCTTTCTCCCATAACTGACCATAACCATAATATAGAATTGACATGAATTTTAAAACTGGTTTTGCATTCTTTGCTTGAATTTTCCTTGGTTGTTGGTTTACAGTGGTTTCTTTCCTACCTGTGAGTAAACGGGAAGGTAGGAGGAGAGGAGGTCCCCCTCCTTTGCGGTCACAGTGGACTCTGGATTATAACTGATAGGTAGAGGAGAAAACCTCTCGATTTCTGGGACCCTGTAGAGATGCCTTTGGAACATGTTTGAATACCATTTGGGCTGTTACCGGAGGTTGTGTGCTGTGTGCTAATCCAAGGAGAGGTGCAGAGTAGATTTTAGACTTTAGGGATTGGCTCTTAGGCTGTTGGGATTTCTCATCTGTATGCACCAGCGCTGTCCTTGAAAACTGTGGGAAAATGAAATGCCTAACAAATCCTGTTTGTGCATCTGGAGTAACTATTATCTAATAAACCACAGTGAAGTATTTTTAAAAATATGGAGTTTACCCTGTTTCTTTTTTAATGTGAATCAGATTTCCTCACATTGTATTGAGTTTGCTTGTGGGTGCAACACATACATTATGAGTAACTTGAGTTAGTGAAATAACTTACGTATTTGGTCATCTGACTGTCAATTAGGCTGGGATTCATTAGGATTAATAGCACAGCAGGGTACTTCAGGTAACATGAATTAAAAGGAGGTATTGGTTTGACATACAATGGCAGAAAACTACTTTTATTCCAGTAGGCTACCAGTGTAAAATGATTTTGCTTTGACATGAAAATGCTGGCACTTGAGATTCAAGTGTCAGGAAATCAGAATTGAATTCATTGTGGCAGGGAGGGCATGGGCAGATAAAATAAGGACAGTGATGAACGTTTTCAAGGGCTTGGGTTTCCTCAGAGGAGAATTTAATATTCGTAATTAGGGATTACTTAAGGATTAAGATGAAGTTACCTATTAACTTCCATCTCCTTTGGATCAAAGTAAATTGAGTATAATGTAATCAAATGAGAGTTGAATTAAAGGGGGAGGACTTGCAGGGCTAAACTTGGTTTTAAACAGAAATAGGTGCTTTAGGGGTTTGAGGCATCTTTGTATTTGTCACATATATTGAGTAGGTAGATAATGCTGGTAGCATTCAAATGGGTTAGAAGTTCATAGAGTAAAAAGTGAAAGTTGTTTTATATCATCTCTGCAAAGTTACCACAGTTAAAAGTTCATGTATCTTTTTAGTTTTTCTGTGCATGACTGTGTATGACACATACACGTGCATATAAATATGGTTTTAAAGCAAGGCAAATTGGATCATGTTGTATAAAATATTTCTCAGCTTGTTTTGTTTTTTTTTTGACTAAAAACATGTCTTGGAGTTCTTCCCACTTCAATTCTTAATTGAATAAAGATCCTCTTCATTCTCGGGACTTCCCTGGTGGTCCAGTGGTGAAGACTGCACTCCCACTGTAGGGGGCACGGGTTCGATCCCTGGTCGGGGAAGTAACATCCTGCATGCTTTGCGGCGTGGCCAAAAAAAAAAAAAAGTATATATATTGATATATATGTATGTTTGTATAAAGATCCGCTTCATTCTTAATTGCTATACAGTGTTCCGTAATATGAATAATAATTTAATTATCCCTTTATTAATTATTTAAATGAAATTAAGTTGATAACAATGTTTTAAATTTTGATTCTGCTAAACTCCCCACATCCCTTGAGGCTGTAATCAGTTTAAATAGTGAAGTATTTTACTTTCTAATTGGATACTTTCAGTCCTTTGGCTGCAGATTATTAATAATAAAGTGTGGCCTACTTTGATACTGCTCTATAGCCTTGAAGATGGTCTTTGGAAGGTAGATGTTGGATTCCTTGTGGCTCCTGCCATGTGTTTCCAGCTCCTTGCATCATTTAGACTTCTTAGAGTCTGCTTTCTGATGGGGCTGTGCCTTCAGCTGTGCTTCTGCCTCATGGTCCCCGTAAGCAGACATCTCGTTTTCTGCTTGGGTTTTGGCACATTTCTCCAGCTGCTGCGGTGGTTTGAATGTATTGGGTCTGTGGGAGCAGAATTCTGTCTTGTCAGTCCATCCCTATGTTTGTTGTCTCTAGATCTGTTTTGTAAAGCAAGCACAAATAGTACACATCCATGAGCACTTTTATGGTTTGTCTTATGTAGAGGGGAATGCCTTATTAAACAGAGTTTTTATTTCTGCTTGGCTTGTTAAAAAATCTGAATACATTTTTATTTCATTACAGATAGGTGATCTTCAGCTTTGCAAACTTGATGAACTAGATTGCTTAATAAAAGGAATTTTATACATTGACTCAGTTGGATTCAATGGACGGTCACAGTGCTATTACTTTGAAAACCCTGCTGATTCCGAAAAATGTCAGAAGTTACCATTTGATTTGAGAAATCCATACCCTCTGCTCCTGGTGAACATTGGCTCTGGAGTTAGCATCTTAGCAGTATATTCCAAAGATAATTATAAGCGGGTCACAGGTACCAGGTATGTCTTTTATATAAAGGTCATTGTTTATTCTTGATATCATAATGGGTTAAAACTGAGTTTTCAGGTACTGCATGTAAGAACATCTTCAAGAACCTGTTAAAATTATGTGAAAGATATGTTTCTCTGGGATTGTGCAAGCAAATATTGTTTCTCTGTGGAAATTCTGATTTCATGATCTACTTTTCTTTAATCTCTATTGCTGAAGATTTCACTACCATAGTTTCATAAAACATCTCATCAGCAGACTCATTGAGCCCAAGGTCCCTGCCCTCAGATAGTGTTATGATATGCATATACCATAAAGTAACCAAAGCTACTAGGTAGCATTTATAAGGAGAAGGCAAGGCAAGATCCCAGCTTTGAACTAGTTTAGATTTTACATGTATCCACACATACACATGGCCAGGGGATGTCGTGAGATCTAGAAGTTGAGGTACTGAGCAGTAGAAAAATGTTTGGGGGAGGGTAGTCTGAAAAGGGAGGATTAGGTGGCAGATGAGAATGAATACCTTTTGGTTTAAGGATCAGCGATCACTTGAGGAAAAACAGGAGCTGGGGATTGGGATAAACAAGTTTTTGAACAGGTGTCAGTTAAAGAATGAGAGGAGTAATTTTGGGAGAGAAAACACATTCATGGAGGAGTTCTAGTCGGGTAAGGGGGGCTGATGACCCAGGGTGACAAGATGCTTGGATGAGGATGACTCGGGGCTTGCACTTGGAGAGAGAAAGGGAAGAGGTGCCACCATGGCCCTGGTGGGCTGATCTGCACCTGAGGCTCCTAGTATTCAGCAGGTGCCCAGACTGCATTGGGGACATGGGTAAAGAAGCGGGCCCTGTGTTTTGCTGCTTTGTTTGCTTGGCTTATGTGAATATGGTATCTTCAAGGTGTCCATTAGACACTTTATTTTTATCTTTTCACAGACTTGTTTCCTACTTAGTGGCATCTGTATGATTGGGATGGGGCAAGAGTGGGTTGATACATGAATATGGTTTTGGATTCATAAATATTACCTGCCTATTCTTATTTTGAAAAATGTTATAATACTATGTTTGTTTTTAATCACAGTCTTGGAGGAGGAACTTTTTTTGGTCTTTGCTGTCTTCTTACTGGCTGTACCACATTTGAAGAAGCTCTTGAAATGGCATCACGTGGAGATAGCACCAAAGTGGATAAACTAGTACGAGACATTTATGGAGGGGACTATGAGAGGTTTGGACTGCCAGGCTGGGCTGTGGCTTCAAGGTAAGGGAAAAGGACGTGTGTGCTCTAAGAAATACAAGGTAATACAGTGGAATATTATCAGCCATAAAGAAGAACAAAATAATGCCATTTGCAGCAACATGGGTGGATGGACCTAGAGATTCTTATACTGAGTGAAGTAAGTCAGACAGAGGAGGACAAATACCATGTGATATCACTTTATATATGGAATCTTAAAAAAGGCTACAAATGAACTTATCTACAAAACCAAAATAGAGTTACAGATGTAGAAAATAAACTTATGGTTACGGAGGGGTAAGGGATGGGGGAGGAAGAATTGGAAGATTGGGATTGACACATACACACTACTATATATAAAACAGATGACTAATAAGGACCTACTGTATAACACAGGGAACTCTATTCAATACTCTGTAATGGCCTATATGGGAAAAGAATCTAAAAAAGAGTGGCTATATTTATTTGTATAACAGATTCACTTTGCTGTACACCTGAAACTAACATAGCATTTTAAATCATTTATACCCCAATTAAAAAAAAATACAGGAATAAAATATTAAGTATTGGGTATATCTTTTACCCTTTAAATAGCTTTACATACTATGAAGTCACCTGTTTAAAGTGTGCAATTTAGTAGTTAGTTTCTAGTATATTTATAGAATTCTGCAGCCATCTTCATAATACAATTTTGAAACATTTTAATCATTCCAGAAAGAAACTTTGTATCTGTTAGCTGTCACTCTCCATTCCCCCACCCACAGTCCCTAGTAAACACTAGTCTATTTTCTGTCTCTCTATGGCATCATACAATATGTGATTTTTGTGACTGGGTTCTTTCACTCAGCATAGTATTTTCAAGGTTCATCCATGTAGTGGCATGAATCAGTACTTTGTTCCTTTTTACTACAGAATAATATTCTTTGTATGGATATACAATGTTGTATTTATCCATTTATCAGTTGATTATCTTTTGGGTTGCTTCAACTCTTTGGTTTATTATGAATAATGGGGCTATAAACATTCATGTACAAGTCTTTGTGTGGACATATGTTTTTAATTCTCTTGGGTATATACCTAGGAGTGGAATTGCTGGGTCATATGGTAACTCAGTGTTTAATCTTTTGAGGAACTGTCAAACTGTTGTCCAAAGTGGCTGTACCATTTTACAGTTTCACCAGCAGTATATAAGAGTTTAAATTTCTCTACATCCTTGCCAATACTTGTTATTGTCTGTCTTTCGGGTTTTAATTGCCTTAATAGGTGTAAGGGGATCTCTCATTTTGATTTGCACTTCCCTGATGACTGATGGTGTTGAACATCTTTTAATATACTTATTGGCTCTTTATTTTCTTTGGAGAAATGTCTGTTCAAGTCTTTGCTCATTTTTTAGTTGGATTCTTTGTCTTTTTATTATTGAATTGTAAGAATTCTTATATATTTTGGATACAGGTCCTTTATCAAGTATATGATTTGCAAATATTTTCTCCCAGTCTGTTGGTTGTCTTTTCACTTCTTGATGGTGGCCTTTGCAGCATAGAAGTTTTAAATTTTGATGAACTCATTCTTATCTATCTTCTCTCTCATCACTTGTGCTTTTGATGTCATGTATAAGAAATCATTGCCTAACCTAAGATCATGAAGACTGACTTCTGTATTTTTTTCTAAGCATTTTATAGTTTTAGCTCTTACATTTAGGTCTATGATCCATTTTGAGTTCATTTTTGTGTGTGGTGTGAGGTAGAGGTTCAGATTCATTCTTTTGCATGTGGCTATATAGGATATATAGTTGTCCCAGCACCATTTGTTGGATAGACTATTATTTCCCCATTGAATTCTCTCAGCCCCTTTGTTGAAAATCACTTGACCGTAAATGTATGGGTTTATTTTTGGACTCTCATTTCTATTGCATTGATCTGTATTTCTATCCTTATGCCAGTACCACACTGCTTTGATTACTGTAGCTTTGTAGTACTAAGTTTTGAGACTGAGAAGAGTGAGTCCTTCAACTTAATCTTCTTTTTCAAGATTATTTTGGCTAACCTGGGTCCCTTGACATTCCATGTGAATTTTAGGATCAGCTTGTTGATAATCTGCACTAAAAGGCAACTGGGATTTTGACAGGGATTGTGTTGAGTCTGTTAGGTCACTTTGGAAAGTATTGCCATCCTAACACTATCAGGTCTTCTGACCCAAGAAGATAGAATGTCTTTCCATTTAGATCATTGCTGTCATTTACCAATGTTTTGTAGTTTTCAGTGTACAAGTGTTATTCTCTTGTTAAATATATTCCTAAGCATTTTAGTCTCTTTGATGCTATTATAAATGGAATTGTTTTCTTAATTTCATTTTTGGATTGTTTAGAAATACAGTTGCTTCTTTGTGTATTGGGGCACATGGTTTTTAATAATAGAAAAGGCACTCATATACATATTTGTTTACTAATTTTAGGTACTTTGTAAATGCTGTAGATTTAATTTTCTATGTTTGTAGCATCTGCTCAATGATAATCAGTTCCTTTTCTGATTGGTTGGGTTTGTGATCAGGTCATAGTTATTTAGATATCAATTCTGCTGGTCAGGTACTTTGAAATACCTGATCTTCTAGGGAAATCTGAAACTCTTAAATAGTTTACTCAAGGACTCAGCTGTCAGATAAAGCAGTTTACCAGATGTGAATGTGACCATTTAGCTGAGTGGAACAGCTGTGCAGTTGGGGGAATTGCTAATTGAGGCATCTTCCTGAAATTTAGCCTGGTTGCAGAAGGAGCATGGTGCCTTCTATGGATCTGAATATGCAGATACGTGGCGTCAAAGCTAGATTTCAGTGGAAACCACAGGGAAAGCCATTTGCTCATTCAGAATGCTTGGGGTGTGGGAATTCCCTGGCAGTCCAGTGGTTAGGAGTCCGAGCTTCCACTGCAGGGGCCATGGGTTTGATCCCTGGCCAGGGAACTAAGATCCCACAAGCCATGCAGCGTGACCAAAAATAAAATAAAATAAAATAAAAGTTCATTAAAAAAAATATTTGAGGAAAAAACTAAAAACTAAACTAAACTAAAATTCTTTGTCATATTATTTTAAAAAAAAGAATGCTTGAGTTCTTGAAGTTGCATTTCTATTTGAGCAGATGCTCTGTTACTTTGTAATAAAATGTTTGAATATTTGAACAGTGGTGCCCTGAAAGTTACTTTTGTCTTAGTAAAGTAACATTAAGTTCTATTGAGCTGTGTTGCCTTTGGTTTAGCAATGAGATATTTTTTTTCCATCATAGCTTTGGAAACATGATGAGCAAGGAGAAGCGAGAAGCTGTGAGTAAAGAGGACCTTGCCAGAGCGACTTTGATCACCATCACCAACAACATTGGCTCAATAGCAAGAATGTGTGCCCTTAATGAAGTAAGGGGACATGGATTTTTTTAGTTGCTCTGAGGAAAATACAGAACTTACTATGTGGGCCCCGCCTTGTATACGTCTGTTTTCTCTGAACAGTGCCTAAATGTAGTCGTAAGTGGTGGAGTTTGTTTCATTGGCAAAGTTAAAACGTTTCACCTGTAGATTAGTCTTAACACATTTTTTTGTCCTTACTCAAGATAAACACTGCTACTATCTAGAAGTAGAGGAAAAGTAGAGGAAGGTAGGGAAGGTAGCCAGTATTGCAGATGATGGGGACTGTTGGGTGGTGGTGATGGATGGCCATGCTGAATCTAGACGCCACACCCACTGTTGAGCTCTAGAGTCCCTGGGAATGAATCCAGAGGAAGGCACTGAAGCTGGGAGAAGACTGAGTGGGCCGAAGAATGCCCACCCTGCTCCCCCTCCACTGCAGCAGAGCTGTCTTTGTGCTTTCAGCTTCTTTACAGTGCTGCCTTGTAGCATTCAGGTCAAGCAGCATTGTACAGGGCTATGAAAGAACTAAGAATGACCTTCCCTTGGGGATCCAGTTGGTGCAGCTTTATAGCTTATCCCTATTTATACACTTTCGTTTAAAATTATTCTTTTAAATAGATAATATAAGCATGTGATTTAAAAAGGAAACCTCAAGGGGTACAAAAGGATTGTCTCATTTTTTAGTTAAAAATACTGTATCAGTATGAAGTAATTAAGAATTCTTTATTTGAATATTTTAACACTTCTGTTTTCTTTGTTGCATGTTCCTTTAAGTCCTGTGCTTATGTATTTTAAGATATTTTAGTTGGTGTACATACCATTCTATGTTTTTTACTTAAATATTATAAATTGCATGGTTGTATATTTGATTACTTTTTATGTCATAAGTCATTCACATAGAACTGGGCATTTGGTTGCTTGCCAATGATAGCTCTGCAGTAAAGCTTTTTTTTTTTTTTTTTTTTGCGGTACGCGGGCCCCTCACTGTTGTGGCCTCTCCCGTCGCGGAGCACAGGCTCCAGACGCGCAAGGCTCAGCGGCCATGGCTCACGGGCCCAGCCGCTCCGTGGCATATGGGATCTTCCCGCACCGGGGCACGAACCCGTGTCCCCAGCCCGTGTCCCCTGCATTGGCAGGCGAACTCTCAACCACTGTGCCACCAGGGAAGCCCGCAGTAAAGCATTTTTAAGCATGAAGCTGTTCCTTGGATGGATTTATTCTTGATAAGAGACTTATTCAGGAGTGAGATTTCTCATCTAAAGAATATCATACTTATGAATTGTGATAGGTATTGCCAAGATGCTTTGCACAAGGGCTGCACCAATTTAGATCGTTTTTAGCAATGAATGAATGGATTGGTTTTACCACAACTTGACTAATATTGGGGGTAGAATTTCAGTTAGTTGTTTGTTTTGCTAACTTTTTTTTATGGTGCCAATTTAAAATACAGTTTTATTTAAGACATTGCATTTTCCACTTAAAATACAGTGCTTATGAAGTGCAATGTTATTTCCTTTCCCTGTATACATATTCACTGTTCAAGTATCAAGAATGCCCAGTTGTTTACTATAGCAGCTCAGCTTTAAAACTGCCTTGGAATTTGCTACACATTTGGGTCCTTCAGTGTTTTTTGTGAAACAATGCTAAATCTATACTGGGTTGGCTTAATCAACCTCTTCAGTGGTGGGTGCGGAGGAGGCACCACCAGATGGAGGAGCTCGGCCCCCAGGCATTCCTCCTGGTGTGTGCCTCCTGCACTCTCTGGTACAGCTTGGTAATGATGGAGTTGCAGATTTTTTTCCAGCTCCTTCTGCTGATGTTCGAATTCTTCCTTCTCCGCAGGATGTAAGATCTTGGGTCACTCAGACATCCAAGGAAGGAAGCTGCCAACATCTGGAGTTCTTTGCTAACTTTTAATGGATCTAAAATTTTACTTTTTTTGCTCACTTAGTGAGGTTGAATTTTTTTGTCTGTGATATTTCTTGTATAATTTGCCTATTTGTGTTACTTTTCTTCTTTGAATTGGGTCTTAATATTTTTTACTTATCTGTATAAAACTTTTTATTTAATTGTAGTTATTGTTTGTCATATTTAATTCAAATGCTTTTCCTAATCTGTATTCTCCTGTGACATTTTCTGGCATACTTTGAAGTAGGTTTAGAGTTGTCTGGGGGTCAAATTTAAGTAGCCCTGGATCAACTGGATTAAATGTAAATACTTTTTTTTTGATCAGCAGTCAACTTGCTGCTAAAAACTATGTACATGGTACTTTCTTTGGGGTAGCTTTTATGAGAGAACAGAAATTAAGATGAAAACTAATTGCCTTTTTTTTTGATGTGCTCAGAACATTAACCAGGTGGTATTTGTTGGAAATTTCTTGAGAATTAATACGATCGCCATGCGGCTTTTGGCATATGCTTTGGATTATTGGTCCAAGGGACAGTTGAAAGCACTTTTTTCGGAACATGAGGTAAGCAGACTTACTTCCTGTGACATGTTACCTTCATAAAGGGCATGCAGTTCATGCTGCGCTGGAATTTGAAGTAGTACTTATTTGTTTCCGTACTTGTATAATATGGGTTAACTTTGGTCATGTTCAAAAGCTGTTTCTTACCTGATTTAATGTAAGGTAGATATTTGGTTAATTTAATTTTGAGCTTCAGTTTTAAAGAAGAAAGTCTTGATAAACAGCCAGCTATATTACAGATGCCATATTCTTTTCTGAACCGTCCTTTATATTTTCCCCATTGCAATTTGCACTTACTTTGTAAATGCACTTACTCTGAGTTCTTTTTTCATTTTTTGATGTCAGTGTTTATGTATTGATGTAGTTCATGTGCCAGTTTACCAGTTATTTAAGATGTATGTTCTAAAAACAACTAGATCAGTAAAAAGCATTCCAGGATTAGAGCCACACTATCATAAGAACATAACACATAGACAGGCTATGTGGAAAAGAATAACTGAATTGCTCAACCTGATAATCCTATTTTGGAAAGTGCCTTTCTGTTTTTCAGTTTGAGGAACAGAACCAGAGCTATGGAAGGGACTTTCTCTTTCCTCCCCTTGGTTGTGGGGCAGTTGGACTCTTTAAAGTGTTAAAGTGGATTGTAGATAGTGTTATTATGAACATTTTTCAGAATTGTATTTGCCTATTTACTTTAACAGTGTTTCTATGAATTGACAGAAATCAAAGTAGGATTTGAAGTAATATGAAGAGGCTATTTTTTCTTTTAAGGTTGCTTTAAGTTTTTCCTTTTAAGTTGCTTAAGTTCATAGTTAAAACCCAAAGTGCATAATTCCCCATATCAAAAAGCTTAAAGTTTCAGTTATCTAACTTTCTTTTTACCTCTAATCTTATTATATTAGTAAATCAGTACTGAATTATCAGTTTCTTATAACTTTTATATGCATCTTGCTTTTTGTGATCTTTGACCTGTTTTATTTTGCTTAATATTAGAATAAAAATAAATCCTGTTTAATGCTGTATCTTAGTATAACTTGCCTCCTGCTGAGTTTCTACCTCTTTTGAACCTTTTTCAAGGCAGAATGTGGAGGTTTCTTAGGTTAACTTTTTTTTTTTAACTTACGTCTTCATATCATAATAATTACGACATGAACCCTTTATGTTTTGTTTTTCCCATTTTGACTTCCTGTCTGGTTAGCCTGTTGGCTCTGTTTGTCTCTGTGTTTTCCATTTACATTCGTGCCTCTGGCTCTAATGTCGATCTCTGTACTTCTGGAACTCTGATTATTTTAGGTTCTCTGAGTCATGAAATATTCTTCTGTCTGCACACTGAAGTCAGTGTGTCTACTGTTGTGAAAGCTTTGTATAGATTCTTCTCAAGCCTTTCTCTTTCATTGTTTACTGTTCTCATCTTACACTTCTTGGCTTGTAACAACCTCTGTTTTTTACTAGATAGTAGCTTTTGGGTCTTCAGTGGAACTCACTATAATGGTTAACTTTATCCCTTCTTCTTTTGTTGTAAAATAAAACACAGATACAGAAAACCGCTTTATATGTAAAGCTAACTGTTACAAAGTGAACACCCTTGGGACTTCCTTGGCGGTCCAGCAGTTAAAGCTGTGTGCTTCCACTGCAGGGGGCGTAGGTTCCATCCCTGGTCAGGGAACTAAGTTCCTGCGTGCTGCGGCCAAAAAAATTAAAAAAATAAAATAAAATAAATAAAGTGAACACCCTTGAATTCTGTCCTCTGGCTGTAATTGTGGGTTTCTGAGTGTGGCTGAGTCTTGCTCAGTTGTGTCCCTTCTACAGTTTCTGACTTTCTCTCATAATACATTCATGTGGCTGCTTACTTATTTATTTTTTATTATTTTTAATATTTATTTACTTGGCTGCGTCAGGTCTTAGTTGCGGCAAACGGGATCTTCGTTGTGGCATGCGGTATCTTTCTTTTTGGCATGCGGGCTGTTTGTTGCAGTGCGCAGGCTTTTCTAGTTGAGGTGTGCGGGCGAGTGCATGGGCTTCTGTAGTTGTGGCGCACGGGCTTAGTTGCCCTGCGGCATGTGGGATCTTAGTTCCCTGACCAGGGATTGAACCTGTGTTCCCTGTATTGGAAGGCAGATGCTTAACCACTGGACCACTGGGGAAGTCCCCATGGCTGCTTATTTTTAAAGCCAAAAAAGAGTGAAAGGGCAGGCCTCTCTGTTGTGTGGCCACATGTTCTTTGGAGAAGCTTTTCTTGGAAAATAGGCTAAACCTTAGTTATTTATATTTCAGAGACTTCTCATATGTTCTTTTTTTTAAAAAAAATTATTTATTTATGGCTGAGTTGGGTCTTCGTTACAGTGCGTGGGCTTCTTATTTTGGTGGCTTCTCTTGTTGCGGAGCACGGGCTCTAGAGTGCAGGCTCAGTAGTTGTAGCGCACTGGCTTAGTTGCTCCGCGGCATGTGGGATCTTCCGGACCAGGACTCGAACCCGTGTCCCCTGCATTGGCAGGCAGATTCTTAACCACTGTGCCACCAGGGAAGTCCCTCATATGTTCTTCTAATCCATAGCAGGTCTTCCAGGATCTTCCCATATTCCTTTTTCAGTCACTTCTTTCTTTCTTACAGTACTTTACTGTCTGATTGCATCCTTTGGAGACCTTGATGGATTCTGTATCGTTGTACGATTATTCTCTGATTCCTGCTGATTTCTGCCAGTATGGGTTTTGCCTCATTTTCTTTTATATTTAATCCTTGTTTAGGTTTCTTGTTTGGGTTGTCATGTCTTGGTTGTATTTGGCCTTGATTACTTACTTCAGGAGATGGTCCTGTAATGTCTTCAGCCGCTGCTTCTCTGTCTCATGCCTCTGCCTTCCCCTCAGTTGCTTCTGTTCTTCAGATGTTGCTCCTCTGTCCTCACCCTTCTCTACACGTTGCCTGAAGGTTCTGTTGTCCAATTCTCTGCTGCTCACCTCTGCCAGTACTGCCCTGACTGCTGCCCCGCTCCAAATCCAGACATCCGGTGACTTTCTGGGTGTAGCTGCTTGGCTGCCTGGGGCACCTCAGCTTTGCACATCCTGTATGGAACCCTCTTCCTTGCTCTCCACATCTCTTGCTCCTGTGTCCTTGTTCTCTCAGGGGTGGTGTGACCGGATGTATGGGAGGGACATCAACATGTCTGCTACCCTCATCCGCTTCTTCAGGCGAGTCTTGAACCCATCCCACCCCCATCTTTCCACCCTCAGCCCAGCTAGCCCTCGCCCTCTGTGACCTGTCCCCGCTTCTCCTTCACTGCACTTCATGTCTCATCTTCCCTTCATTCCAGAGTTGTCTGGAAATGCTCCAGGCCCCCCTGTTGCTTCTCACCGCCTCATTCTGCAGGAGACGGCCCAGGTACCGTCCTTTACCAGGGGTAACTGGGCTGCTCTGGGCCTCATAACTTGTGGAGCCCCAATTGTGGGCTCTGGTCTGATGTGCCAGAGTGTCCTTCCCCCGCTGCCTGGGAGCTCTGGAGAGCTTCTCTGCTCCCAGGCTGGCCTTGGGCTCAGCAAAATGGGAGTCAGGAAATGGGTGTCAGGAATTAAGGGCTGTGTTGGCTTTAATGCTAGTAATCATATTTATGGTAATTTAAATAAGTCAAAGGAGAATTGCTCTTATTTTTTTCTTTCTTTTTCTTTTTTTTTTTTTTCAGGGTTATTTTGGAGCTGTTGGAGCACTCCTTGAGCTATTGAAGATCCCCTGATTGTTACCTGGGGAGGGGTTCCTGGAACCTTCCACAATGGGATTTGTGGACTTGTTTTTTTAAGAGACTTACTCAGTTTTATGATTGTGTACTACCTGAATCAAAGCGAGAAAGGACAAATGTATTTTTCTAAGTCATCAAGATAAATCTTAATAACCAGTAAGGAAAGATACATATTAAAAAAAAAAAAAGTGGACCATGTCCATGTCGGTGAGAATTCTCTGTATTTAAGTTGCTCTTCAGTATAGCTTTGTTCAACTTGCTGTGTATTTTTGAAATTCAGCATCACTTTGTGGAGCCACTTCAGGGGAGGAGAGCTGTTCTGTGTTCAACGGGCTGTGGTTTTGTGTCCTGTTGAACTAGCTAAATGTAAGGCAAGCTATTGATACTATGTATTATAATCTAATCACAATTTTATCAGTGAGGCCTTGGAGATCATCTTAATGTGCATTAACTCTGGTGTGCATTTAGCTTGTGTGAGTGTATTGAAAAACATGTTTCAAGGTTCTACAGACTTACTGGGCAGGTTAATTCTGTGCCTTTAACAGTTAAGCAACTTTTGGAAGGGCAGTTCCAGCTTGTTTACACTGTAGATCCTGGGAAGGTCTGTTTGGAGGGAAAGGACTTCTCCCCTGGGCAGAATTTCCTTGGGTAGTGGAGGGATAATTGATGTGATGGAAGTGAGTAAGCTAGTAGAAAAAGCACATCTGGAAGACTAAAAGCAGACAAAGAGGGCTGCCAGTATCGACAGCTTTTCAAGGAGTGGGGGGAATCTGGTTATTTCAGGCTGGTAGAGAGGGAGGAATTGAGGTGTCCATTGATTAGCTCATGGAGAGCAGGGCGGGGCTCTCCCGCCTTCTGCTCCCTGCCTTGTGCTTGCTGGAAACTGCCTGGGAGGCTGGCTCAGTTGGATCTAGTGGAGGGGCTGCGTGTGGGAGGCTCAAAAGGCTGCTTGAGGAGAGACAGGTTTCTAGATGGAGTCTTGGTAGAGGTTGGCTTCTTCCTCTGGACCGAGGAATGGAGCCAGCGTGAGCCTGTTCACTGCCCATGGAGATCCAGGTTGACCTCTGAGGCCTTGTGGGGTCCCGCCTGCTCTCCCCGCAGTTACTGTGCTCACAAGGCTGTCCCATTGCTTTTTTTTTTTTTTAACATCTTTATTGGGGTATAATTGCTTTACAATGGTGTGTTAGTTTCTGCTTTATAACAAAGTGAATCAGTTATACATATACATATGTTCCCATATGTCTTCCCTCTTGCGTCTCCCTCCCTCCCACCCTCCCTATCCCACCCCTCCAGGCTGTCACAAAGCACCGAGCCAATATGTGCCATTGCTTTTTGTGGGTCGTGTCATGCAGCCCTTGTCATCTCCATAACTTAACAGAGGAGGAAACTGCCCAAAGTCACACAGCTAGAATCCGGCAGAGCCCCCTTTCCTCTTGTGCCTTGAAGTCGCCTTCCACCTCCATGGATTCACCACTTCCTGCTCTTGAGAAACTGCCTCTGTGACTTCTTTTTGTGCCTTGTGCTCAGCCCATCCTTCTTACTCCAGTGAATCTCGTTGCTAAATATAATGGACATTTCATGTTCTCATCCTCCTCAGTTCTAACACTGCAGACCCCTCTTGCTTTTCCTTCTATCTCCTAGGCCACTTTGTCTCTGCCAATTTATTCTCCACTGAAGATAATCAGATATTGCTAGCCCTCAGGCTCAATCCTTGATCTCCTTAAGCAGTCATCAGCACTCACCTTGACTCTGATTTCTAAGGTAGCATATCTGGCCCAGCCCTTGCCTCTGAGCTCCAGTCCCAAGGCATTGACTGCCTTCTCTTCCCTCTTCCCCCTTCCCCTTTCCCGCTTCCCTTCTCTTCTGTATCTCCAAGGCCATCTTTACACAGAAATGTGTCCATCCTCTCCCCTGAAGCTCCGCCAGCATCCTCTCCCAGTTTCCTGCCACTTCACTACCTCCAGTTTGTGAGATGCATGTAAACTCAGTCTTGTCACCACAGCTACCACTCTGGTCTAAGCCACTGCCCTGTTTCATCTTAGCAGTTATCCCTTCCAGTCAGCCCTCCAAATACTAGCCTGAGGGTCCCATCCCACACTCACCTATTAGGGGCAGTGGGGGTGGTAGTGGCTGTGGTCATGGTCCAGGTGTGAAAGGAAGGTGGCCAAACCAAGATGGGAGCAGTGGATGGTCAGGTAGAGAGGGATGCTTTAGAGGGTTGAGTTTAGAGATGTGGAGATTGGAAGTGGGGGAAGGAGGTTCTGTGAGGGCACTTAGGCTTGCTGGGGAGACTTGGTTTTGGGCTGCCTGATTTTTGATGCCAAATAGGTATCTGGATATTTAGGTCAGAGACCTGAGAATGATGTGCATGTAGGTGGGTAAAATGTAGGTGGGAATTTAGTGAATCCCAAGGTAGAGTGAGAATAACGAGATGTGCAGACAAGGAAGAGGCTGCGAAGAACACCGAAGAGTGGTCAGAGGGGACTAGTGCAGGGGGCCTGTTGCTCTGGAGACTTGAGGGGAGAGGAGCTCTCCAGGCACCTGCATTAAGAGGAGGTTTCAGAGGTGGCACAGATTTGGTTGCAGGGCCATGGGTGGCCTTGAGGGGGAGCAGTTTCCCTGAAGCTATGGGGCCAAAGCTGAGCTGCAGAGTCCTAGTGAGGGTTGGTGAGTAGAAACAGTAGCTGCCACAGGATGGCTTTGGACCAGGAGATGTTTTTTTCTCCTCCCAACAGAATAGTTGGTATTTCCAGACCTGGGATATAGCTAGAGGGGTGAGGCGTGGGCCGGTTCCACCACTGCAACCTCCTGAGCACTGGTGTCCACATTTGGGAGACTGCTTGACTATGTCCAGCCACACCTGTGGTGCTGAGGCCAGGGTGGCAGGGGGGCCTTGGCCTCTCTGCCTTCTCCTTTGCTGTGCCCTGGTGCTCCACTCATCACCCCTGACTGGCACCCCACACCATGGGAAGAGATAAGCCAGGCTCCTCTGTCACAATCACCTGTTGCTGTTGACCAATTCTGTTTGTTCAGAACCACTCTTCAGCTCTTGCTACATGGGCTTAAGTGGGATGTGGGTGACCAAGGGTGTGTACATGCTCAGCACAAAGTATTTTTAAAATCTGCTTTTTATTTACATTTAAGTCAGTTACATGCATGTCTTATTTTTTAAACAAGAGTAATTAGCAAAATGCATTAAAATTTTAAAATAGCAATTAAATATACAAAAATATATAGCTTACAAAAAACTGCGAATGTTTAAAAATATTCTGCTGCATAATTCTTGGTGTACAAACATGTCTATGAAACCTGAGGTTCAGCATTTCATAAACCTTTTTTTGAGGGAGTTATACGATATCTAGTGAATAAACCCCAATAGGCTTAAAACTATAGGACTAATATCCACTCTTTCTGGCAAAGATCTGTCAAGAGACCCAGAGATGACAGTTCAGGAACACTCTCTTGGAAGACTGAGCTGTTACCAGGAAGGACTTCCTAACACTAGCCTCATCTGCCTCTCCTGCTCTAGCGGGGGTGCCTGGGAGGGAAGGGGTGGATGGAGGGATGGTGTGCACCTGGCCCGAGACACAGGTCCGCCAGGCTTGTACTGGCCTAGGGAGCTGAGAGGGGCTTCATGGAAGAATAGACAAGTCCTTTGACACTGGTGGGGCCCACAATGTGGGTACATGTCCCTGGAGCAGGGAGGCCCTGACACTACAGCCACAGAAGTGAGCACTGGGTCGGTAAGCCAAGTGTGCTGATGCTTGGTCTAAAAGTGGAATAAAACTGCATCTTGCAACAACAATTTAGGCTCTGAAGCTGAACTGGAATAATATTTACTGAACAAGCCCCTCTGTTTTCCTCATGTTCCCAATCAAATGGAAGCACATTCCATGGCACGTGGAAGCCTTCGTTAATCTACTAAAGGAACATGACCCAGCATTTTCCAGTTAACAACTGCAAATTTCACCAGAATTTAGACACTTTCATCTCCTTTACTCAAATTCCTAAATGTTAACGATGAAAAAGACAAGAGGTTCATCAAATGACAGAAGAATGGAGTTTCACATACAATTCCTTTGCAAGTTTCAGGTCAGGGGCCCAAGTTGCACTTTTAATCTAGGGAATCCCTGGGCTGCTGTTCTGTGTGGCAGGATACCAGGGAGGTGGGTGAGGAATGAGAGGCACAAGTCCATGCCCCTCCCTTCAAGGCTGCCTGGAGGAAGCAGCTTTAACCTGGATCTCCTGCAGGGGCAAGAATGAACTTAATTGTTTTTTAAAGAAAATGTTGGTGGGATAATTGCTGTTGTTGAAAAAATGTTGGGTGAGGAGAAATTCTATGGGAACGTTTTCTTTTTAGTGTGTTCATAAAGAGTGGGAAGGGAAAGGGAGTAGTTTCATGAACTTGAATGTTCGGCCATATCTGCTGTTAATGCTGAGGCAGCTGACCACCTATTTGCTTAGCAACATCTGAGACATCTGCCCCACAAAACAGAAGGATGTCTCAGCCTTCAGTTACTGCTGCTTCTCAAACTCCTGCCTCAAAAACATGGGCTTGCCTAAGAAACCATGACAGTTGTAACCAGATGTCACTGCTGGGCTCTTGGTCCTCACTTGAAACTGGACTGGGGGGCTGAGGTGTGGCTGCAGCCTGTCCAGGCTCCTGCAAAAGCTGCTGGACTGTGCTGTTGCTTTTGGCTGTGGAGCCTGCTCTTGAGTGCCCTGCAACAGACTCAGAAAGATAGGCTGGAAACTGGTTGTGCTGTCTTGTTATTTGGGCATCAGTGGTTAGGGTCAGGGAGGGATTGTAGTTTGATTGGGGTAGCAAACTAGAATTTCATCATGCTGCAATCAGTGGAAAATATGCCTTATTCAAAAGGAATGTGATTATAGAAATATCCCCCAATTCTGGGCTCACCTTTTACAGATATTCTGACTTCTGGGATGGTTCTTCCCACATGACTAGGAATGTTCCTTGAATATACTTGTCTGGTATTACACAAGTAAAAAAGAAAAATTATACACATACACACAGTTGATTCTTGAACAATATAGGTTTGAACTGAGCAGGTCTACTTACACGTGGATTTTTTTCAATGAATACATTCTACATGATCCAAAGTTGGTTGAATCCTTGGATGCTGAACCGCGGATATAGAGGGCTGACTGTAAAGTGATGTGTAGGCTGTACAGGGGGTCAGCGCTCCTAACCTATGTTGTTCAAGGGTCAACTGTGTGTGTGTGTCTGTGTGTATATATATATACACACACCCACACCCCATGCACATGTACATACATGTGTATGTACTTGTATATGCATAAATAATCTCTGGAAGAATCCACAAGGAACTAATAGTGGGTGCTCAAGGGGTGAGGAACTTGGCTTGCTTGGAGGTCAGGGATGCAAGGAAGACTTAACTGTTTATGATTTGTGAACCACTTGAAGGGATTACCTATTCAAAAAATTAAGGAATATTCAGCACTGAGCAACCATGTTGGGGAGCACCATGGGCAAAGGTAAACGGAAGTGACTAAGGAAGATCAAGATGGGAAAGGGAAGGGAGCCAGGTGAACTGGGACCCAGGGGAGAGCCCCTACATCTCAGGAGGCTCTCTGCTGAGGTTGTTTCTACCGGGACAACAGAGGAGCCCCATGTGGCCAGCATGACGGTGTCACCTAGTAGCACCAGCCCCCATGACTCTAGGCCTGCCTGCTGGACTCCAGACATGGTGGCCAATTCCCCACAAGAGCTGGTGGGGACACCCTTCCTACAATCCCTGGGTGGGCGGATAAGGAAACAGGTTTTGGGAGGCTAACTTGCAGGAAGGCATGTGGCTAGTGAGTGGCAAGGGGGTGATTCAAATCAAGCTGAGCACCTTTTCTCTACAGAGCTCTGGGGATGCCTCCCTGTGTGCATTTCATAATTCCCAGAAAACCTCTCAGAAAAACAGTTACTACAGTCGTTCAGGGCAGCTTAGCAGAATGGGACCAGGCCATGAAGATGATAGGCTTTGGAGTGGGTAATGTGGAAAGGAACAGGGCATGAGGTCATTCGTTTGATGGATTTGAGGGGCTAGGCACTGCGGAGAGGATCTTTGTCAAGACTTGTCGAGAACAGTGTGTTTGGCAATGGTGTGAGGTCCCCTGTATCCCTCAGCCCAGACTTCCCCATGGTCCACCTGCTCCCATCTGGCCATTACTGTCTTGTCCTGTTCCTTGGCTAGGGCCTTAACTACTAGGGATAGGCCTAACCAAATCACTGTGGCAAAGAAAAGCAGCAGATGACAACTAGCATGTTAGGCCTACTCAACCAGGAATCAAGTCAGGCTGGTTTTGTTCCCTGTTCCTAAAGCCAGCTGAATTCAGCTGTACCCCTAGTAACAACTAGATAATGATTCACCCACCCATGGAGTCCAGTTGAGTCTGAGTTTTGCTCCAGTAACCCACAGCACGCAACACCCAATCTCTGAGTTGCTTAAGACACATTAAGATGAAGTTAAAAAAATCACGTTACCTGCCAGTGACCCAAAAGCAGACCAGAGTCCTCACATGTCTACAGATTAACAAAAGGTCAACAACTCATGGAGATAGATTTCGACAGGGCAGCCTCACTGTGAGGTGTGAGCTTGATCAAAGAGTATTAAGGGATCCTTGTTCTTTAAAAATAAGTTTTTTTGAATGGAGATTTGACCTTGTCCTTCACATAAAACTGTGATTTTAATTAGAATTAAAGGAAGACATAAATTAAACCCTGGCCGTTCTCAGTTACAGCAGTGCAGCACTGGGACGTTCTGGAGGAGGACCCAGATGTGGGGAGCAAACACATTCACGTTGTGTTGCTAAGAGTAATAACTACTGCAGGTGACACTGGCCATGCTGCAATAGAAGGACACCAAGCCAAGAAAGGGAAGATGACTATAAGCAGAGCGAACACTCTTAACCACTCCAGTGTCAAGCCCCACCTTAGAAGAGCTGGGTTTTTAAAAGCCCTGCACATTCACAAGTGTTGAGGTTATGGTGTAAAGCAGACCCATGATGGTGCCTAGTGGGGAGCGCACAGCACTCTCAAGCTTTCCTCTAATGGATGGGCTTTGAATGTCTGGTCCAACTGGCCTTTAGCTGTGACACCGTGAGATGAATTAATTTGCCTCCCTACAAATAGAGGGACTTCGTGAGGCTGTCTCCTTGGTACTGACGCACTGAAAGGCTATAATCCTACAAAAGCTGTGCAATGAAATAATTTGCAGTATAGAACACAAGAATTCCTCCTTTGAAGGGAAAAGTTCTATTTCCTATTGGAACCCCATAACTAAGAGGTGACATTTGTCCCAAAGCCATTATGTGAAAATGGTGAGCGTTGGCTATTAATGAGGCTAGTCCAAAATAAGCCTACTTCTGACATTGGTCACTGAAAACATTTCACTATAAACTGGGTGCTTTGCAGCATTCAACTCTGTTGTGCTACAAAATAGAGAATGCAGAAACAGGGTGAAAGTAGGAGTGTACAAATAGTTCTTTTCATGGGTGCCAGACAGACTAAGGCTTTCATATAAAAATATTCCACACTTCCCTTGCCCTGTTTAAAGAAGCAGTCCAGTTAGCATACCATGAATAGGTCACACATAGGGTACAGCCAATTCCGACCAACTGGATTTGTAATTTCCCAAACTGGATTCTGCCCAGCATTTTTCTAGGCTAATGGGAATTTTCCTCCTCATCTGATCCCAGCCACCTGAGCCAAGGACAGGTTCCCTCGCCCATTCTAAGACGGTAGAGGCTGGATTCCAAGAAAATTCCTGGAGATACGCCATGAACAGAGTAGCAAAGTTTCCTCCACTCTCCGTATCATGCAGGCTGTATTTCCAATGAGAAACTGCCCCACTCATACTTGGGGGATGGGGCAGAGAGGCAAAGCTGTTGATGAGGAGTCCCACCCCTGTGATGGAAGGAGGTGGAGAGCAGGGCTGTGGAAGAGAGCTTTCTATCTGACCCAATGCTGTTTCACATAGCTAACTTATAAAATAGTCATGAATCCTGCTAGACTCTGAGTCATTTCTAGAAAAGTTGGAGAGAAAGAGTGAAAGAGCAGCATGTGTTTCTCCCCTATAAAGACACTTTCAGTTAGTTATCCAAGTCCAAATACTGAAGCACACACCAATGGTGAATAGCCTTGCAGGAGCTTCCTGAAACTATTCACAATTTCTAGCATTTCCCTGGCTTCAGAATTACATAGGGATCTTATTTGTGATACTTCAAATTGTTAAGTCAACGATGGGCATTTTCTTTTGAGTAGAAGGAGAGGGCAAGAGAGGGAAGAGAACAGAGAAGGATGGGGAGAAGCAAGGGGGTTAGCATCCTCCTCTCAGCTCAGCAGGGCCAAGGGGACTGGCCGTTATCAGTAAGATGCTCCTCTTTGGAGCCATGTGAGGGGCTTACAGCAGCTTCCTACTGAGGCAGTGGGCCAAGACCAGCAGGTACGCTGGAACCACACTGCATATGTGGGAATGTGGGCAGCACCCTGAGGCCCCCAGGTCATACAGGGACAGCATGGGCTCAGAGGCCCACCCCCTGCTGGGGCTCCTGATGGCAGCTTGGCTGTGCCTCACTGGTGAGTAGGAGGGGAAATAAGAGGAAATGGCTTTTGACCAGACCTTTCCAAGCACATCTAATGTTTCTAGCTTAGATGATTTGATAAGCAAGTGTTGTGAACTTGAGGCAGGACCTGTGGTGATGGGTACTGCTGCTTTTTTGTAACCAAAGCCCTTGGGTTCTAAGATGGCCTTATCAAAGGGACATAACGTGAAAAGCCTTGTTGGCACTGCCTCCGGCACTGCAGCCGGTTGTGCTTGGGCTGAGGTAACCACTGTTTTTACTTGGCTGGGGCTGCTAGGAAGGTTTGCTGTTGCAAAGGCGTGCACGGTCTGCATAGAAGCTCATGTGTCCACAGGGTCGGGGTAGGGGTGGCTTTAAAGACCTGCCCTCAGTTCCCTTCTCTAACACTTGTGTTTATCGTCCCTTCTGCTTGATAAAGATTCACCTTGACATGGAGATAAGTGTCTGGGAGACAGAGTGCAATGGAGTTAGCAAGAGACCCTCATGAGGTTTCTTGAACCAAACCCGCAGGCTCATCTACTCCTCTTCTCTTGGCATGGGGTAGTGTCAGAGTACTTTGGTTGTCACAAGATCCAGAAGTCTCGGTTCCCAGCATAGTTGGCCCAAGAGTTCTTCATTAGACAAAGGAAGCAGCAGCTGGTGCCCCAGGTAGAGCAGCCAACACAGAGACTGCTTGTGTTCCTCCTGGCTCCACGCAGACATTGGCTTCTGCAACAGTTTGATCCTTGTGATGAGCTATACAATGTTCTCTGCCCCAGGGAGGGGACCCTGTGGGGGTCCACGGTCCTGCTTACTATGCAACTGGGCCAGCTGCAGAACCGGCATGTTGCACAGTGGACATACTTTGCGAACCTCCAGCCACTTAATAAGGCACCTGCAGAACGAGACAGCACAAGAAGGAAGAGGTCAGTCCTATGCTCGTGGCACCCCCTGCCCATGTGCCTCACATGTTGAACATATCTGTTGCTCAGAGGTGGGGACTGGAGTGAACAGCCAGGTCCCAAAGAGTTCTACCACTGGGTGGAGAATGCATTTCACCCTCTGGAGGAACCAGAGACTCCAGCTTTCCAAGAAGCTACAGTCAGTATGCTATACCCTCAGTCATCCATGACTTCTTAAAGAATGAAGTACATTGAGGAGGGTGGTGAGAAGGAGGAGAAATGAAGTTTTCTAATAGAAATACAAAACACATAAAATTGCAAGAAAAGGGGGAGTATTAAATATGTCTGTAGGAGGGGGGAGGAGATGGTCCCACACTACTATTTACATTCAGACTTATTTATTTTGATTTAAAATAACTATGTTTTTTTTTTTTTTTTTTTTTTT